TAACTTCTGTTTTAAAATAATCGGACTTATTTGATCCATTTTCAGTTTGAGAGTTAGACAAAGAGGGAAATGTTTTTCGCGCGTATTTTGTTTCTATTGTTGTATTGTAATTATGTATTGTATTAATTGCATTGTTATAGTCTACACCCTAAACTACTTAACCGATTTTGCCTAATGAGATACCTCATTAGATTCGTTTCATTTCCTTGAGTGTCATAGGGTATCTTACATCGGAAGGAAATATTTACAGTGGACATGAGAAGTGAAATTCTAAATAGTCAAAAAACTAAGCTTTTATGTCGTTAAAACTTCTATTTCATTTCTAAAACAGATCGTGTGCATACCTTTGACGAAACTATCGCACTGTTTAGTCCCGCTTTGATTCCTATAAGCTTATATGGAGGAACACACTACTCGATTTTTAGTTGTACTAAAAAGAATTGGCTGCGTAACAATTGACAATCGCTGAACATTTGTGCGACATTTTAGTCAAAGGTGTGCGAATTTGTGTTCGGTATAATGTTGCAAAAAAACTTTCGATATCTGTCTTGTAGAAGTAAACATCTGTAAAAGGCGCGTTCCACACGAAAGTTCACGCGATTCAAAAGCTCGCTATTGTTTGATGACACGCTTCGAGAGACATCCATTGTTCTTATCGAAGTTCTTTATTACTGAAGTCCTTTCAGTTCCAGATGCTATTGAATGACGTTTCTCATTATTGTGTACATTTAATTGCAGATTTTATCTATATATCTATACTTTTATAATAAAGCGTAAACACACACTTCTTTTTTGCCTAAGATGTCAGCAATTACAGCATATTTTTGAATAATCCTTTTTTAATAAAAAGCCCTACACTTGCCTCACGCTTTAGGCTACATATATTCACGCCATTAAACATAGAAGGTAAATATTTTGAATAAAACCCTAATGTGGGAAAGAGACCATAAGTTGCTGCCAACATCAAGAAAGATTGCTAAGGTTTGTCATGTCGTGTCGATTAACATTTGCTATTAATAATATGACAAATGTAAACAATGAAATAAAATGTTCATAGTTACATGCGGATGAAGCCGCACGGGAACAGCTAATGTTTTCATAAACTTAAAAAAAAACTTTAGACTAATATTCTTGGCACATTTAAGAGGCTTATGGTTTAAAAAATGTTTTCAATTTTTATTTGAAGTTTTAAACTATTTATGATTGCAACATTATTCAGGTTTTCGTCATCACCAGCTCTCTATACGACCCCACTGAGGGGCTCGTAGCCTACCCTAAGTTAGAGCCTTAGGTTTTACAATTAAATGCAGTTTTCATCTCTAGCTATAGACGTAGTTATATTGTTATTTCTAGATTCCTAGCCCTTAGACAAGATTCCTAGTACGTGTCATGCGATGCTGTCAGTTCAGCCATGACGCCAACAAAGGTAATATCGCTGCAATCGAGAATAAAAACTCGATCCCATGCGGTTAAGCAAGGTCAGTTGGAATATAGTATAACTAAAATTAAGATAAAACATAGTTATTTTATTATAAATACGAAAGTTTGTATGGATGGATATTTGTTAGAGTATCTTGATAAAATTTGGCATAGATGTAGACGGTCTGGATGAACACAAGCCACATTTTTTTAATTCCATGCGGATGGAGCCGGCGATAGCTAGTTATCAATTAATGTATATTTAAAAATGAAAGATAATAAATTGAAAAAAAGGAGAAATGCCCGTAGAATTGAGTCTTAGCGGGGGTTAAATAAAAATATTCAACACTTATTTATTGGAAACATTTTTAGTAAAAGTCGTAATATAGTTAAATTTTATTCGGATCAAGAAGTTTTGATTTTAAATAAATATGTATCATAATTTATACAAACATGGTCCTTATGGTATGTTTTTTATGTTAAAATTTTATTTATTACAGTAAAACAATTTAAATGATTCTATAATAAATATCACAGCAACTGATTCATCTTAAAGTTAACTCTATACTAGGTATGCACCTGTACCTAATCAAAAAAAGCTCGATCGACAAGTGACAAGAGGTAGAAAGAGACAGCATCAATCAACCCTTAGTTAGAGTGAGATAGAACACTGAGTATGAGACTTCAACGACGATGTCTATAATTTGTTACAATATTTAGATTGACCAAGTTTTTATAAAGTCGCTTTTTGTAAAAAATAATACGAGACGTGATACTTGTCGAGGTAAGAATAACAAATACTAGTAAGAGATAACCAAATTGGTGAGACATTACAAAAAACTAACCTACGTATCTATACTAATATAATAAAGCGTAAACACTCTTCTTTGTTGCCTAAGATATCAGCAATTACAGCATATGTTTGAATAATTCTTTTTTAATAAAAAGCTTTACACTTATGTCACGCTTTAGGATGTATATTTTCACGCCGTTAAACGTAGGGGTAAATATTTTGGATAAAAACCCTAATGTGGGAAAGAGACCATAAGTTGTTGCCAACATCGAGGAAGAAAGATTGCCATGGTTTGACATTATGTCATGTCATTTTGACTTGACATAACTTGACAAATGTGAAAAATGAAATGAATTTTTTATAATTTTGTGCGGATGAAGTCGCATGGGAACAGCAAGTATATGCTATTTTTATTATAAGATGGCAAACAAGCGAACGACCGACTTCGATTCGCCGAAAAGGCGAAACGGCTGTGTGACATCAGCAATTGCAGATACGTCACTACCAATCGACGGAGGAACGCACATAAAGAGGATAATTCCCCTACCTATGTCTCCTCTACTATTAAACCCACTTTTCAAAGGGAAAGTTACTAAAATGAGAGTAGAAGAAGCAGTATACATACATGTGTCAGGGCTGCGGTAGTCAGTGGTCTCTCTTTACCCCTCTAGGCTACGGGCGTTATATTGTTAACGATCTTGGGGTGTTCCCTTGCTTTTCGTATCATTGGACAAAAATTTAGGTATATTTCTTAGAGAGTTGTCAAAGAATAATTTAAACAGATTAACACTTAGGTATATAACTATACAGTTTCTATTACTTGTATGAATAAATATATGTATATGGAATATTAGGTAATTTGGTAGCCTTAAGTTTAAATTATTTAGCAATTATATTTAATTCACGCAAAATGTCATTAGGATAGTTTATTGCTACGTATGTATTATATATGAACATAGTCTAAAAGAACGCATTGGCTACTTGCTAAGTTTTTACAAGTACAAAAGTTAAGTAGAGTTAAATTTGCCGATTTTTATATTTTTATATTATAAAATAGAACACTTGTCAAAACACAAAATAGTTATTTCTTTTTCCTTTACATGTTTATACCTATTTTGCATACGGATTCTATCTATAATCTTGGACAAGTACTTTAGTTTAGGGGTTGTGTTTTGCTGTGTGACACGGAATCAATTACAAGCTTGAGATGTCGAATGTTGGGGGATCGACATGTGAATCTATTTGATTAAGAAATATATAAGTGGTGCATTGAAAGAGGAAATAAAAATATATTAGGATGTAAATATACTCTTTGACCGCGGATTGTGATTATGGATGTCAACGTGGTTACTTTTTACCTTTAAAATGTATCACTACACTGCTTTTGATATGAGTACTTTGTTATTTGTTCGTCATAATCGTAATAGCTATGGTTTATAAAAATCGCTGAGCGCTTCTATACTAATATAATAAAGCGTAAACACACACTTCTTTGTTGCCTAAGATGTCAGCAATTGCAGCATATTTTTGAATAATTCTTTTTTTTAATATTTTTTTTATAATATAACAGGTGATTGTTTTGCAAACTGCTTAGATAATTTTACCTTTAAAAATGATAAAAGAGATATGCTATATCTGATATATAATGATATATGAGATATGGATATAAACGTTTTATTAGGATAAATACCTATAATATGTTCAGAATAATGCCAGGAAGAGATTCGGGTCGATTTGATCTCGTTTTTCACCCGCCTGAGTGCTAAATCTCATTAACTATGATTAATTATAACACTGAAAGCATTTCTTTTGAAAATCTAAGAATCTGATAGCGTATTTCTTATATCTTGAATGATTTTTAGTGGTCGTTTAGTAAATCTTAGTTACTTAATATAACAGCAGCAACATATTATATAATCTTTGACAAAACTCTCGACGAATGTGCGATTGTCGATTGTTTCGCAGCCAAATCAACTGTTTATTTGCACAACTAAAAATCGAGTAGTGTGAGCACCTCCATATGAGCTTATAGGAATCAAAGTTCGACTAAACAGTTGTCCGATAGTTTAGTTAGAGGTGCTTTCGAAATACGTTTAGAAGAATGTTTTATATAAATTTATATAGATTATTTAATACAGATAGAGAACTTAAAAGCATTTCGGATGTAGACGAAAATAATTTCATTAAAAGTAGTTGGAATTTATGAATGTAATTTTATACAGAGTATAAAATGAAAAAGCATAATTCAATTAGCTAACCGAATGTTATGAAAACTCAACCTACTTCTTGCATTTACTGGTGGTAATATTTGAAATACATCAGTGCTAGTGATGCGCCCCGACTTCGTGTGGAGTTCCCATTCTCTTTATTTCATCGTCTTCCCTCTGTCATGTCCAAAACATTCATTATCATCCCACAAAGATCAGTAACATTTACAACGTTTTTATTATAAATGGCTATCGCCCGCGACTCCGTCCGCGTGGAATTAAAAGAACAAAAACAAAAATGAGTAGCGTGTGTGTTCTTCCAGACTATCCTCTACATCTATGCCAAATTTCATCGAAATCCGTTCGGCCGTTTAGGCTACAAACTAACAAACATCCATCCATCCATCTTAACTTTCGCATTTATAGTATTAGTGTATTTAGTAAGATAATCTGGCTTCAACAGATTCTACGAAAAGAGGTTTTATTACGTTCGAATTTTAAACTTTTAAAATTCACGTCTGCAAAACTAACGCCTACTCTATAGCCAAGGGCGGGAAAAGGTTTTCAGCCAGTGTCTGCCCGGGCGTTGCGGTTGACAGACGTTCGTCGCGTTTCCAATTTTAAACGAGACATCGCGTGTTTAATTAGACAAACATAAATAACAAACATTAATTGTGACTTAAAAACATAAAGTTTTTACTGTTTGATATTCTAGGAACTTATATAGTGCTAACTTTTTGTGCTGTAACATATTTAGTGATAACGAAGTTTATTTTGGATTACAATAAAATAGGTAAGTTTAAAAAAAATAGTGAATATTGCCTTTTGAATTGCTTTAACAATACTATATTACAAATATTTTACCCATACATACGTTATTAAAAGAAATATTTTTAAGTTATAATGTAATGCTTAAAACCTTTTTTTATTACTTTTCGTATTTTTTTATTAAACTACATAATATAATGCAGGTTATAAAACATATACTACTATTTATAATGTTTTTTTTCTGTAAAGTAAATAATCTTATGAAGAAAATAAGCGGCTTTTTTATTACTTTTAATGTTGATTATTTTTAATTAAATTCCATTGTAAGATATTTAAGTCCTAAAACATGTAAAATTTATACTCTATGACTTTTGATTACTCTATTATTTTGTGAACTTTTTTTTTGTTTTTTTCCTGACTTCATTCATTATATTTGTTTGAATGAACATTCGTTTCTCTATACGACGCATTATAATTATGTGTTTCTGTTTTAATATTCACATTTCTAAGAACTACTGAATAATAAAAAGGTTTCCTAAGTAGTTAAGCAGTGACACACGAAATGGGAATGACTATTGAAACCAAGGTTATTTAGTTATTGCCCGCGACTTTGCGTGGTTTTAAAATCTTTGTCAGTAGCTCAGTTCTTTAGGACTATGTTTTACTGTCTTAAATGTGGCCGTTTTGCAGATTTTAGTAATAAGCATCTATACATCCATCCATATGTTTGTATTTATAATAGTATGAAGTAAGATTTTGTTGGTTATTTGATTTCTTGTATAATTTTCAAATTTATTTACTGAGAAAATAGTCAAAATGTTGCCAATTTTTAATATTTCATATTACAACATTGGAAAGCAGCTAGTAGTTACACAAATTCTTATTCATAAATCCTTTAGTGTCTTCCGTCATATAAAATGACGAAGACTTAAAGCGGGCGCACACCTTTGACAAAACTATCGCACAACAGTTGTGCGATTTTCAATTGTTTCACAGCCAATTCAACTGTTTAATTGCATTAAAATCGAGTAGTGTGTGCACCTCCATATATGCTTATATAAATCAAAGCGAGACGAAACAGTTGTGCGATAGTTTAGTCAAAGGTGTGCGCTCCTAAGTTATAACTTCACTTCATGACGTATTGGTCTAATTAAGTCGAAAGTATAGTTACAAAAATGTTACTGCCACAGAAGTAAAACTAAGGGATTATAAGAAAACTTAAGGTACTCTGAGTACTGTAAGATAGAACAGTAATTCTTCATTAACTTTCTTGCTTTCACTACACAATTAAACACGTCAAATACAAACCAATTCGTTATAGTTCTCCATTTCTAATAAAAAAGTCTAAAAAAGGTCGAAAAAGGGAAAAAACCTTGTTCAGTAGCGTATCACCTGTTCAAAAGATTCCCAGGAGTGTTGGGATCCAAACCGGTTGACGGTTAAAAAAAATAACGCCCGGAAAAAATATAACAGTGGTGAATGGGTAGGTGTTTCTCGCTTGGCATTAACAAGGTCGGCTTTATCCAGAACTGATTACGCACTTACTGAGGAATTATTTTACAAGCTTTTTTCAGTCGCGACGTCAAGGTCAGAGATAGACATACGCAATTGTAGATGCGTAGTAGTTGAAGTAATTTTTTTTATACATTTCGTAGATTTCTACTTGGGGTTGAGCAATAACACCTTCCCTTGACAATACATTACAAAGGGAAAAGATTGTATCCAATTAACTTAAAAAATTTTGAACGTATTTGAAAAAATCCCACACAAATAGACAGATCTTTTATCAGGCAGCAACCTTGAATGATGTTATTTTATCTACCTGAGAGAAGCCGGGTGTGTTTATTAAAGTAAAAAGCAATTTAATATATAATGAAGCGCCTTTGTTTGACATCAGTATTTCAAGATAATATAAATATAATCTCAATAGATTAAAGTCTTGTCTCTTTCTTTGTCGGTTTATGGCTTCATCTATACTATTATAATAAAGCGTAAACACACACTTCTTTGTTGCCTAAGATGTCAGCCAATACAACATATTTTTGAATAATTCTTTTTTTAATAAAAAGCCCTACACTTACATCACGCTTTAGGCTATATATTTTCACGCCATTAAACTTTTGGGGTAAATATTTTGGATAAAAAGCCTAATGTGCGAAAGAGTCCATAAGTTGCTGCCAACATCAAGGGAGCAAGGTTGTCATCATGTCATATCATTTTGACATTTGCTATTGATAATTTAACAAATGTAAACAATAAAATAAAATTTTCATAATTCAATGCGGATGAAGCCGCACGGGAACAGCTAGTTGTTTTATAAGTGCCTACAGGGATGATTGGCCACCCTTTGCGACCACAATAAGCGTCTAGAAATCTTTATTGATTGTTACTATATTAAAAATTTAAAATGGATCGTCCAACTGGCGGTTGCTGGCATTTTTATGGTCTTTTTAAGATCTGAATAAACTTCCGATTGCCTTTTTATGGACACTTGACCCACAAATTTTAATATACTTTTTGTTTATTATGTCTTCTAGAATACATCTGGCAAGTTTATATCTATACATGTTGTGAAGTAGATAGCTTCGTTTAATTTAAAATTATTAAAGACTAGCTGTTGCCCGCAACTTCGTCCACGCAATATTAAGATAAAAAAGTGAAATTCCTGTCGAAATCGGCCCAGTCGTTTCGGAGATTACCCGGAACAAACGCGGCTTGCAGACAGACTGATAAACAGACAGACAATTTTTTTAAATGTGATTTTCGTTATTAGCAACGCAAATACATCATCTTCCCGAAATCTGAAATTTTTCTTTTGATATCACAAAGAGACACTCCAATTTTATTATATGTATAGATAAAGCGGAGATGTATCGCTAGTCTTACTATCTTATGAATATTATAAATGCGAAGGTTTGGTGGTTAGATGTTTGTTGAGTTTTTAACTAAACCGCTGAACGGATCTTGATGAAATTTGACATAGATGTAGAGGATAGTCTAGAATATCATATGGGCTACTTGCTTTTTATATTTCACGCGGACGGTGTCACGGGCCGAAGCTAGTGTTTTATATTTCTTTTAATCAAAATATAAACTAGCCCAAAAATTACCTATCTTCATTGTATGATTAGATTTCTGGTAGTAATAAATGTTATTTCGTTGTTTTATTAAGAACAGTATTTTATAAGAATGCTATTTGAAATTATGTCATGAACATTTATAAAAGAGTAAACGCAAAATGTACAATATCCTTGTAGCGCCCTCTAGTTTCTAGTCAGGCAACTGTTAAGTCACAAAGGAAACGATTTTGCTAGCCGTGGGCTCAAATCTTTTGCCAATAAAATTCGGTTGACAAAGACAATAAAAACTCTGTGCTTTGTTACATAATGCATTTGTTACTTTTGCTTAAGGCTATACAAGTTATCTGTCCCGGTGGGCTTTATCAAAACTTAATAATGTAATTCGCTAGCTTCTTTTATGTACATTTTATATATTTACTGACAGAACTGATAGTAGCGAAACAATCGACAATCGCACAACAGTTTGCAATATTTTATTCAAAAGTGTTCTTGTATATCTGATTGTCGTTTGTTCCTTACTCTTCGTGATGATGTTATTTATACAACGGCTACTGTTTGCCTAGTCCGTTTCTCTATAATCAAAGGTAACCAATAAATACCACATGAATGCTCGAACTTGTATCGAAGTCAACTCGACAGAGATATTATCTATTTAAATCAAGTCCAATCTTAGTTGCTCTATAAAAAAGAAGGTAGTCTGAGAAAAAAAGTATGGGAATCAACCATCTACTGTTGTTATTTATTTATTAAGCTACAAAGTCGAATTTAATGTTATTAGATTTCCTGGAACGATTTGTTTTATAATAGATCTTCTGCTCGCTAGTTCGTCCACGTGCAATTTTAAAATATAGCCTTTGTGCAGAGTAGATATAACGTAACTTTCTAATGGCGAAAGAATTTTTGAAAGACCAGTAATTTTTGAGTTATTTTAATACAAATCTTTTCCTCTTTATAACAAAAGTATAGAAGACCAGCTTTTGTTCACGCAGATAAAAAACTCTTAACAAGTAGGGTATGTGTTCTTCCAGACTATTTTTTAAATCTATGCCAATTTTTTATATATCCGTTGAGTCGTTCTGGAGTTCCCTCTTAGCATCCATCCAACCATACAAACTTTCCCATCTTATCTATCTATGCTTACTTCTCACTTCTTACTTCTTACTTCGTACTTCTTACTTCTTACTTCTTACTAATGTTATAAATGCGAAAGTTTAGATGGATAGATGGATGGATGGATGGATGTTTGTTAGAGTTTGTAGCCTAAACGGCTAAACGGATGTTGATGAAATTTGGCATAGAAGTAGACGATAGTCTAGAAGAACACATAGGCGGACGGAGTGGCGGGTGAAAGCTAGTTTATATTATTAGTAGGAAGAAGATATGTCAATTCTATTGAAATTTAAACTCTACATAAATATATTGACATCTGTTCATATGAAACTTTCATCGTTCACCTTTGTTCTTTGAGACGGGATTTTCTCTGCAACTAAAATGCGTTTTTGAATTTCAAAAAGGACGACTTTTAAATGTTCGGCGTTATGCTTTATGTTTTTAACAAAGAATCTTTTGCTAAGAATGGAATTTTTCAAAGAACTTTTAACAAGAATTTAGTTTCATATTTCTGTCGTTGGTTTGAGTATGAATAGCATAGTTTTAAAACCTTTGAGTTGTTGAAATATTTTTGAAGAAAATATTGTTGGTGCATATTTTAGAAAAAAAAGAAATTGTCACATGATTTTAGGTTGTGTATAGTATTAAAAAAACAACAGTAAAATAATAAAGCGTTGTTCATAATGGGAATCCAATTTTTTGTGTCTGTTTGTACCCAAATCTGTGTTTGTTTCGGGTAAACTCCGAAACAGATGAACCGATTTTGACGGGACTTTTACTGGTGGTAGCTGATTTTTGCAGGAATGGTATAGGCTTTTTATCCTGCGCAGACAAA